GGCCTACAATGGTGTCAATATAGTAAAAATGCGAGTTCATCGTACTCGCACGTCGGTACACCTGAATCGTTACCTGGAACACTTCTGCGTCGTTACCTATGCGTGAGACTGACAACTATACTGAGACCAACACCACCGTAATCTATCAGTAAAAAAAGACTATCAGGTTGTTAATGTACATTTCTGAAACCGCTGGGTTTTAATTAATAGCCTCTTGAAAATTTCGACATTTTGTTTTCCAGTTTGCATCAGTTCAGTTCATTGTCTGCTCCGATAGTCATTAATGTTGGTCGATCGAAGCGCAAGCAGTGAAATAAATTAAACATATTTTACCGCCTTTAATTAGTGCTTAACCGTGAAGTCATTACCAAACCACTACACAAGTATGAGAATTAATGCCATCACTACAATTTTTAACTAGTATTATATTCATCTTGTCATCAGACCTTTGAATATCGAACCGTCGATTAAACAAGAAGTACAAAAAATATACGTGAGCTGCTTCAAAAATGTAATATTGAATTCAAAATACAAATGAATGCCTTTAAATGAATGAAACTTTCCCCTTGTAATAAACGATAGTAACATAGACGCAACCATTGTTACCACATATCAAATACAAAATTAATATGTAGATAAAATATTTCAAAAATCACTAAACAACTGTGAGATAGAACAATCATTCATGGAACATAGGCACGATTCACCTCTCGAGCTGGAGAAGATGAGTCATCGCGGACGAACGCTAGTGAAATGCGGCAACAGAACAACGGGCAAAAACGAAGCTTCGTCTTTAACCAAATCAAAAAATAGAATGGAAAAACTCCGAGATTGCCTCATCAAAGAAAGATGTTACTTAATTAGGCGCGTTAAGGAAATGTCAATCATTTGATTCTGCGACAGAGACAATAACTATGGAAAAGGATATGAATTTTGTGCAGATTGGATGAGTTTCCTTCCACCTGTTGCCAGAATAGAAAATCGACTTTCTGGACGAACCGAAAGCTTATCCTCTCTTTTTGGACATACAAAACACTGCTGCAGGGGAAAAAGCTTCCAAAGCAACTTTCCACGTTGTAGGTAGCCGTTGAAACGCAGGTCGAAACGTCAGCCCCTGGTCAAATAATCCTATTAATCAAATGGTTTGACGGCCCGTGGGGATATTGCGGCGTTTTTTGACAGTAGGCGTAGCCTGCACATTTGTCGACTTAGTTGTTTACTGTCGAGACTCACTGGCGAAACGTATACTTGAACAACTGTGGGAAACCTACGTTGGAAATAGTTTGATTCATAAATTTTTGCTTAATTGGAATGAAGTCTCGGTCGTAATTTTCAGCCTTCATCATCCAAGTAACAATGAAACTCATTGGCATTCCTCCACTTTAATAAGTTAAGGTTAACAATTTTATGTAAGGTCACCATCAACTGTGATCAACAGGCTTGGTGTTGGCTAACTGCCGTCGTACACTCATCATCTTAACAGATAACAATAAGCTTTGCGACTTTGGTTTCCCTTCATGGTGTCGGCGTAGTTTTGACTTTGCAAGGATTTTCTGCATGCCTATCCATGATTTCGAAATTTTTTCTCTACAACCCTGGTACATAACATTTATCGTGATCTGGATTTTGTTTCACTTTCATTTCGATGTCGTTTCTGTGCGTCGTTAATATTTTGTGCTTCTTTTCAATTCCTTATATCAAAATGCAAGTGCTAGGATTTATCCATCATGCGCTTATCTGCCTCGGCGTTAGTAGCACCGGAGTACTTGGAATTGACGGCCAAATAATGGTCAGTGTGTGAGAGAATTTCCTATACAGCAACATTTCCACTGCCTAGACCATTAGCTTTATAGTCCAAAAGTGGAATAGGGCAACCTTCGTATTCTTCTAGCGTGAATTGCATTTCCCTCGTAATATTGCTTATCTAATTATGTTTTTTTCGCATTTACTTTCATGCAGATGATGAATGTGTCATCAACGTGGCAGCATCATATTTGAAGAGTCAACGACGTGGATTAACCTAATATAAGCTGTAATATGGAAAAAAAATTTTATGCAGTATTCGCGTGATTAGTAGCTATATGAACTAGATTTTCAGGCAATTCCCATTTAAGATTTGCTGAATTAGTTTTAATGCTTGATGCAGAACAGTCTTTGTTTGAGTTCCGACGCGTACATGGCTAGTAGAGCGAAAATGGAGGTCACGTTGTGATAAAAAATGTTGCTGTAACTTTTCAGGGACTGCAGGTCTAGGAATATCAGGAGCTGACGCTAGTGAGTGCCGTTTGATAGGAGACGTGTCAGTTATTAGCGAGCAACTTCTAATTATTACTTCAGTGTTGATTACACAGCCTCGTGATGACTCATGTCGGATTGTCTCCATGCCTTACAACAACGCTTACCTGCCCAATAACTTACGTTCATGGCGCAATGAAAAGAAAAATTGAGATGAGGAATTTAGTAGTAAGATACAATGTATGAAAACCTAAATGCAGCTATATTAAAGTTAGATATTTTGAAGCCTTGATCACTCTCTTTGAAACTGAACCAAACCACTTTCTGAGTTTATGGTCTTCGTTGTAAAATGTGGCACTGACGCAACGTAGCGATAAAAAGTTGCTTTTACGTTTTAGAGATTACGTTTTCGCCAAACGAGCTTACCGGAAGTTGATGAAAATGAGCTCTCTCTGACATCCAAATGTGAGTCGTTTATTAAAAATTAACTTTTAATTACGACGTCGTGGTAGACCAGATGTTTAGATGATGTCATGATGGACCTACCCTATTATGGCTTGCAATATACACTCTAGTATTTTTGAAGGTTATGAGCCTGTATTCGATATTCAAGTTTATTGTTGAAACTGTGTCTTAAAAGAAACAGTTTCTCTCTCAAGGAATCTCTGCGCATCACTGCATATGTAAATTGTTGCTCCATGTTGAATGGAGCCGTAGTTACTCTCCCGTGGGACAAGCTCATAGGCTAAAGTAGAGGAAATGGTTCGTTCTCGGCCGGTTGATGGTCTGTCTAATGGTGTTAACCTTTTTCTTAATCTCCATATCTTCTGGGATTCTTCATAACGTTTGCCTTCAGAGCGTTATGGAGGAAATGATTTTCTCAGTTGTGTTGCCTGTGCAAGCACTCAGATCATAGAACCTGCTCTTCGTACTACTCACGAGAATAACATGACCCGCACTAGCCTAGTAAGAAATGTTGCCAGGTATCATTAGCTGCGCCATCCCTTTTGAATATGACCTTTGTGTTTTTCCCAGGGGTCGCATGGTTCGGCGAGGAAGGTCAAGAACAGTGTTAAATGGCAAAGACGAAATGCGGCTTTCATTTGTCTATCGCATTTTAGCATTGTACACATAGTTGGGCGATGTATCGAATGAAAGATAGCCTTAAATCGCTGAAATTGATAAACCAAGGGAACTAGCATCGTGTCTGCTTAGTGATCTTTTCACCTCATCTTCATCTTCCATCGCCGCTTCTCCTTTCGGGTCGCGGTAGTGATCTTTTCGAAGAACGAAATAGTGATAGAGCTCAGAGTAGCTCATTTTGATGCCTGCTTGATTTCGACGGTCTCTCAGAAAGTGGTAGCCTCATACTTTTCCGGATGAAGTTTCGCGGAAGTTCACAGCGTGATACCACGATGTCTGAACCACTCGGTCAGCAGAACTCCTTAAATATAGGCATAAGTACTCAACACCCCATTCTCTGGGAAATATTCGTGGGTTCGCATGTGGCGAAGCGCTTCATGGAACTTTTCTACCATCCCATTCCTCTATAATTAATTAGCTCCGAAGGAATTCGATCCACACCGCATCATTTCTTTTCTTGAGGTGTAGCTAGCCTTTTTTATCTGCAATTTGGTGGGTGGATCTGTACTAAGCTCTAATGTTGGCAGAGAATTAATGGCCGGAAATGGGAAATCCGAAGAGCAGCCATTACTACCTCAGGCTGTCTTTTGAGATTTTCCGTCTGACCTACCAGTAGGACACCCTTGACATATAGGATAAAGACGGATCGAGTGTCTAAATTACCGGACGGATATCACGCTTATTTGATCACTATCAGCCAGTCACTCCTGGTAACAGCCTTATCAATATTCTTGATTTCCTATCCAGCTATAATTTTGGCTATGGCATCTATTACGGGTCCTGCCACACTTCGTAGCAATTTGTTGATCACGGTTGTTTTGTTCAGACATTTCATTACTGTTGAAATTGGCTAAGATAACAGGGTAGTTCGCTTGATTTCTTGCTTGCTTATCTCAATATTTACACATAGCTGACACATCTTTCTTCGTTTAACGGATGTCGTTGTGTGCTTATGCTGTTGTTCTCTTCTGCAGTTTTAAACGATGGCAGGCAAAGCGAATCACCGGTTAGCGGACAGTCCAGGTGTCATTTTTTACATCAAATCAACGGTAGAAAAGTCCTCTGCGATTGGGTTACGTAAGGAAACTGGGTAACTTATCTTTTTTGCGTCTGTTAGTGCCGTCTATTTTTGACTAATCTGTTTGAGGTTTTATGTAAAGTTAAATAGCTGTAGCGAAATGTGGCCTACCTCCTTATCATGTTGCATAGAGTGACACGTTTATGCATTAACTACGTTTAATATGAAGCAGATGCAGCTATGTATATAAACATCAGACAAGTTTCACCGGATGGTGTGTTCTATAGTCTTCAGCAGCAATGACATATCTCCCAGTAGAGCTATTTCATTTGGCAATGAACAGCATTTCGCGATATATTTGATGATCTGCATAGTCAGAAACACTTCACCGTGTAACATTCTAGTCAGCCAGCTTTCCGCGTTTCATTTAAGATTCTGGGTGGCTGATTGTTCGCAGGTGTCAAAGTACTTGAATTACATGAGGTTATTCCTTTGAACTCTGCCACTGTCTTGTTCATCTGAAGTGTTGTTCTTTCTTAATGTTAAAATGTCTCCTAATGTTGTTGCGTAATAAATTATTGTTTCTCAATGTTCGTATTTTAGAAACCATCGGGACATCAAAACCGTTAACTCTTCGGTGGAAGTGTCTGAAAAGGACAAGAAACAAAGGAGGCAGAGATGCATTTCGTTCTGCATTGCCGACTGGGTGATGTTCACCATGTCGCTTCAGTTTTCGATCTACTTCGCGTCACTGTGGCCGTATTTGTCTCAGGTAAACGTCTGATGATGAAGAACGGGGACTGAACGGTGAAATTTTTTAGATCGACAAAAATGCGACCGAAAATTTTTTTGGCTGGGTAGTCGCCACTTATTGCTTAGGTCAAATCGTCGGATCTCCATTGTTCGGTATGTGGAGTAACCGCAGAGGGTCGGTAAGAGTGCCATGCCTCACGTCTCTAATTATTACCGTATTCGGAAATGCTTTGATGGTATGTGCCGAAGGATTTCCAGCCAACAATCGCTTCGTGGTGCTGTGCGCAAGGTTCGTGATGGGGTGTGCTGCAGGTAGGTAATGGTTTAAAATGAGCACATGTTCAATACTGCATGTTCATATAACTTCTCGCTCCGTTTGAGAGAATTAGAATGTAGGTTTAGAGGTAAATCGGTCAAGGAATTGAGTCAGTAGAATGGAGTAAGTTCCACTGACAAAACCTTTGACTCAGAGTCAAAAGACAGCGTGTTCTAAGGTCAATCAGTAGTTTGAGTAGTAGTTTGCTAACGACACTTATTTGGTTACTGTGTGAATCAGTAAATTTAATATCGGTTTTCTGAAAGTCGCAAAACTGAAGTAGGGAACCTGTACGAATACGAGTTCTTTGTCAGCGAGTTAACGACTGTAATAATAAACGTGAAGAAATGTAACAGAAACATCAACACTTTATACGAATACGTTTTAAAGCTTTTGTCAAATAGGATCACGAGTCAGAGCTGGAGTCAAGAGAGTTTCTAGAAAGATTAACGCAACAATCAAAATCATGGGAACCGATATGACACGTGGCTGCAGGCACGTTTGTGAACGATGCAAAACATGGAGATCCGATGAATATGCCTTTTCTAATATCAGTCTGATATGCCACAAATTATAAACGTGAGATATGACGCATCTGAATTACTCAGCTGTTTCAGCTCTTCTAGCCTTTGATGATAGTGACAAAATACCAAGTGAAAAGATGAAAATTAATGCAACGATTAATTATTATTGTTAATTATTTTCTGTGGGTCAACGACATTGAAAGTGACCCGTACATTGTAGGCATAAACGGAAGTCTTAGGGCTTTTATCTTTATGTCTAGTCCAGAATCGCAGCGCACAAGAGCCATCTCAATTGCAACCGCATTTATGACCACAGGAATGATCGCGGGCCCTGGTGAGTAAACAGACGTTATCCAACAGTGCCGAAGAATGTTGATTTAGG